AATGCAGAGGTGAGGAAACTTGTCCTCCTGGCATAGAGGTATCAGAACCGACCCACTCCTTAGCATCAGGTTCGTTAACACTTCGTCATTCTATTATGTTCACTACACATAAGGTGGTAAACATATTACTTTCAGCCTCTACATGTTATCTTGCTTTCTGATTCTTTGAATTCTACGATGCAGATACTCATGGTGTGCTGAAAAGCCTCACTCTATTCTAGACTCTGTTCTGGTTATCTGCTTTCTTGGACTTATGTCCACACCATGTTGTTTTGTCCACAGGAGTTTCACAAGGATCCCCTTGTGCCATACAAAGTCTCTCCTACTCTTTTCCTTAATTTTCTCAACTACTCTTGGAACATACTATTCCAAAATTAATCTGAAGATAATTTTATCCAATAGGAGAAAACTAATTTCTTGGGATTCTTATCAGATTTGGGTTCAATTTTTAAAGATGCAGAAAGTGAGTTTCAGAGGGGGCCCAACTGGCACAACTGGTCATGATCGTGGCCCCAGATCTATAGGCTCACTCCCTGCCCTCCTCCTAGAAATGCCCCCTCTGACACACCTGTATGCCCCTCACACAGGGCTCAGAGCCACCTTTCCAATGTGCAGTGTGTTCCCTTATGCTCCCACACCTCTGCCTCATCCTTGCCGCATCTGCTGCTGACCATGAGATAGGGAGCCCTGGCTCTGGGGCTGCTCGTCCGGTCACCTGCTGACAGGAATTAAGCTGGCTTGCCGTCCTCGGCAAATTCCGGCAGCTCGGTGGTACATGGGCCAGTACACACCACTCTAGGATGACTTCCCGGCAGGGGGCTCTGGGGCCAGGGCTGGACACTTACATAGCTGGCGTGACCAGTGCTCTGGGTCAAGGGGGCCCCATGAACCAGCTGCTGGGGGGACCTTGAGGGGTCAGTACTCGGTGGGAGGGGGTCCGGGCCTGTTTCCTGCTCACCGTGTCTGGAGCACAAAGCATGGTGTTGCCCATCTCAGAGTCTGGGTTGGCGGAGCCCATCGCTGCTGATGAACAAGCAGGGGGCCCACATCGCACTCCCTCCCATAGAGAAGAGCAAGCAGAGCGAGGCCTGGAACATGCCCCTGGGTCCCAGCCCAGCCCCCCAAGCTCCACGCCGGGGAGTTCCATGGGAGACCTGCTGGGGCACGGTCCAGGGCAGACATGCAGATGGGAGGCGAGGTGCGACTGTGAGCTCCAAGGAGAGACCTTGGGTGAAGATGTCCCTTCCCCAGAGGCACCCAGGAAGACCGGGAAAAGCCATTCCTCTGTTCTCACTAAATGAACTGCGCCACAGATTCGACACCTACTTGTAACCGCCTTAATTTTTTAATGTTCTTGAGAATGTTCATTTTTAGCATGGATAATTTTGAATCATTTTCAAATCAACCTTTCCTAGCAATGAGCAGATATGATTTGCTTCCACAAAGACACCCACGGACTGTCCAAATCTGGTGTCACCTACATTGAGTGGTGACAGATTTGTATGATAAATGCTGTGTCAAGTTTTTCTTTTTAAGCTCACTGGACTGAGCTGCTTCCTTTCCTCCCTGTCCCACCAACATCCCAAACCCAACTTCCTGCCACACCCACCACCCAGCCGCTCCTTCCACATCGTAGAGGCCCACAGCTTGGACCAAGTTCTCTACGTGCCAAGGACCCAGAGGACCATCTGGACGCCCAGCAGCAGCCCCAGCTTTAGGATCTGGAGAGCACAGCCGAAGCTGGGGCTCTGCCCCTGGTGACCTCTGGCAAGTCCCCAGGGCCCTCACCTGTACCAGAAGGTGGCCCTCACTCTTATGGCTACATCCAAGACGAGAGCAGGCTCCAGGGAAGGTGCCCACACGGGGCCTGTCTTGCCCGCACCAGTGCTCATAAGCGGTCTGCTCCCCCACTTCCATGACGTCCTCTCTGCCCCCAACATTTCAGTCTGGGGCTCCCACTTTGAGCCCCTGGCCCCCGCCACTGTGTGCATGAGCCTCGGCACCTGCTGCTTCCCCCTAGGCCCGTGCGGCTGTGCGCTCCTCCCTGAGGTTCCTCATCTGCACCAGCTTCTCAGGGAGCCCTGCAGGCTACCCCTCTTTAAAACAGCACCGTCACCAACGGCCCTTCCTCGCCCTGCCCCATATAGCTTCCACATGCACTCTTTGCCTCAGGACAGAGCATGCTTTCAACTGCAAGGGCATTTGCGTCCCCACCCGAGGTACCATGATGATTCTGCTGCTACGCTCCCAAAGCCCAGAGGGAAGGTGTCACCTCAATCCAATCCTTCATTGTTGGATGAATCAATGACCTCAGTCCATCCCCCTCTCTGGGCGTCACGGTCTCCACTTGGCTACAGTGCCTGTGGATTGCCCCCTCCCCCCTGGCACATATGTAGGTGGCGGCCTGGCGCCTTTCCCGCTGGAAGGGCTAAAGCAGGTTGCTGACCCCCATGTGGCACCCAGAGGGACATGCTGGAGGCACGTGGGCTGAGGCTTGGGCAAGACAGGCAGAGATGGAGGCACGAGCCTCATGTCAGTGGTGCCCCCAACTCCCTGGTGACAATGTGCAGAGCAGGAGAAGAAGGAATGAGGAGAGACCCGGAACAGGTGGAATTTCGGAGGGCAGCCCATGCAGTCCAGGTTAACTGAGGTCCTCTTTCCACTTTGCAGCACTCTGGTACCTTCTACTCCACCCCTATCCTCTGGTACCTTCTACTCCACCCCTATCCTGTGGGACCTCACTGTCCCTGCACTGCTGGCACTGGGCCACCACCCTGACCTCCCTTGCATCTAATCATGCAAAGCCAGAGCACATGCCCCAACTCGGGCAGTACAAGGTAGAGGAGCTGGGGAACACAAGAGAAAGGGGGTGACAGAGGGCCTGGGAGGCAGGAGCCAGAAGGAAAGGATGCCTGTCACCTGAGGGACAGCTGCTGCCCATGTATCACTCCCACTGGAACCACCTGGGGGCCACAATTGTCTGAACACAGATTTACCACGCCGGCCACCAGGAAACAGATGGGCTTGCACCCTCAAGCTGGAGACAGCACCAAGTGTCCAAAGCTCTGAATGCCCTTGCTTGAAAGACACCTGACCTACAGGGGCCCAGTTCCGTCTCATGTGTGGCCAGGACTGCCCTCAGCGACTCCAAGTGATGGGCACTGGGACGTCTGCGCACCCCCACCCCCCAAAGCTTCATCACAGCAGAGTGAAGGGGACCACTCGGCTCTGACACGTGGACAGTGCTGGTGTGTCTAAAGGGGGGACTGTGAGGGGCACATGGCACTACCCCCACCCGACCTGTCCTCCTAGGGAGGTTTAGAACTCCCCTCTGGAGTCTCTATAAGCAATTCACAATCTGGACACAAAGTCGATGGCACGTGTTGCAAATGAAGGGGCCTTCCAGTGCTCACTGCCTCCACCCAGGACACTCCAAGCCCAGTCCTGTCTCCTGCATCTACACTTGCTATTCCTCAGCCTGGAATGTTCCCCTCTGCTCCTCCCCCCACCACACCATCAAAATGCCTCTCGTTTGGCACGTGCACCTTCCACAGCCCTCTCTTCAATCGTCCTTCACTTGCTGCTGCTGGAAATCACTTGCTGCTATTTGCTTATCTATTACCTGTCTTTCCCACTGGAATAAATAAAGTCCTCAAAAACAAGACCTCATTGTTTTTCTTATTTACAACTGAACCCCCAGGGTAGGTGCTGATAAGTATTGCTGAATGGCTGTGGATGAGGAGTCAATGCTTAGGTAACACCCCTGAGGCTGCTAGGAGTCCTGCAAGGATCAGGTGCTCTCACCAGTTCCCTGGACCACAGAACCCAGGGAAGGGGGTAGGTTAGGAAATAGACAGACCCCATGGGTCTGTCCCTGCCAAAGGAAGGGATAGGGGTGGAGCAGGTCTTGACAGTAGAGGGGGCCCCTCCAGGCCCCGGTTCATTTCCTATGCACAGTGCAGGGGAATGGGAGCTCAGGGCACCTGCCCTGATGAGTGGGGGGAGTGCATGGCTCTGCAGGAGGAGGAAGCCTCTGCTCAGTGGCTCCCTGTTCTGTGCAGAGTCATCAATACAACTTTTCAATTTCCAAAACACAGTCTGGGATGAGACAAAACCTGTCTACATAGGTGCCTGGCTTTCCAGGGGCCCCAGGAGATCCCTGGACTGATCCCTATGTCTTTTCCATCCCCCTGCCCTCGGCAGAGAAATTCAAGTTCTACGGGGGTCTAGAAGCCAATCAAGTCACTCACACGCAGGGCTCAGGGACTGATCACAGTTGGGAGGATCCCATCCTGGGGTATCCGCAATTTATAAAACATTCTTTTTCTCTTCCAAGCTGTGCTTGCCTTAAACCAATGACATGTATGTCAAGTTCTTAGGGCTAACCGTGCAGCCTGCCAGATTAGAAACTGAAGCAGAGAAACCCAACCAGGCTCCAGGGAGGGTCATGGCCTATCTAGAGAGGAGGACAGAAGGCTGTGGGAAATCACCTCCCCCACCACAAGGCTTGCTGACCCTGGAGCTGGAAGTCAGGTTAGACCAGTCCAGATCTCCATCTGTAACCCTGTCCCTCTTGTCCCACAGCAGAAACACTCTGAGGACATGATGTAGCCCCTGTGACACGTTCTCTGGACATTCATGCACCCTAGTATCAGCTTGGGACTCCTGCTGCACTGGATGTACCATGAGTCTCCCACAGCACAGAGGCTCCACAGCCCAGGAACCGAAGGCAGAAAATGCTGACACACCTGCCTTCTGCACACAGATCCTTGAGAAGAATCTCAGGTCTGCACAGGAAACCTGAAGCAAAGTTTTTTGTTTTCTTTTGATTTTTTTTGCTAAAGAAAAAAAAAAAGGAGAGCTTCAAAATGCCCCTAATTGCAGGACCCCCCTAATGAGTGGGGGCTGCCTGTCTGCCCCAAGCCACCCTGTCTCCACCTGCAGCCTAAGGCAGGAAGGGCACTTTGTTGGGGTCCAGGACCCCAATGCCTGGCTCTTACCTCCAGTGGCACCACCTGCATCAGGATGGCGAAGTTGGTGAGATGAGTACAGTGGCAGATGGAGTAGCTGAGGTTTCCTTCAGCAAGCGCACAGCCCTGGTTGGACCAGACCCCTTCTCCGGAGCTGGAGACACAGAACAAAGGAGCGACGGCTGAGAGAGCAGACATGCTGGTGCCAGTTGGGCCACAGGGAGACGGCGGGGGGGGGGGGGGGGGGGACACTGTGACCGCCCTGACACACACATTCAGGAGGCACAGGGACCCACAGCCCATGAAAATGAGACATGCTCATCCTACAATCCATCAGTCTCACTTCCAGAGAACTCTGAGCTGGGCACCCAGGGGACATGCCTGGGGTCTTTGCCGAGTGACAGGTGATGCCACAGAACATTAAAGCAGCCCAATGCCCGCTGTGGGGTGGGATAAGCAAAGTGTGGCAAACACAGATGTGATAAAATGTGATACATCAGTTGGAGATGGGTGTCAATGCCCTGATGCATCATGGTCTGTGCACAGCCGGGGTGGACGTGCAAATGTGAAATAGAACAAGATCACAGATGCTCCATGAACATAGCCATAAGCTATGTCTACGGTACCGAGGACACACCCCAGACTGGCCACCTCTAGAGAGAGGGTATGAGGGGAACAGATGGAGGCATCTTTGCCTTCTTATGTTTTACTTCTTTACAGAACTGATTTAGGACTTGTGTCACTTCTTAAAGTATAAATCTAGACCGAAATGACCAGGAACAAACATGCTCAAGTGCTAACTGTGGTTTCTTCTTATGGTAAGAATATCAGTGATCATAATTTTCTACGGTGTCTCTCTCCGTATTTTCAAATTCCTAAGAAGATGTTTCCATGGTTCTATTCAGAAATGACAACTTCGAGTTATCAGCAAAGACAGATGTTTGCCTCAGCCAAAGGCAGGACCCTTGGGGAAAGCTTTTATAAAAGTGAACAAATTGAAAGGCAGGGGTTTCTCTCTGCTTTACATTCTATTTTAAGCTGTGGACGTAGCAGATGAGAAATGTGGCCATCCCGGAGGGGTGCTCGTGTCCCTGGGAGCACACACTGGGGGCATTCTCATTTCCATGCCTACCAGGAAAGAGGGGTTCACCCAGCCCATCCCAGCCACCTTACCAGCATGACATGAAACCTCAGATAGCCAGCACTGATGGGACCATCCCAAGGCCCCAGTGTTGCCTCGGCCAGACTGGCTGAGTATTTTGAAGTGCACCCCCGGCTTTAAGGGCTGAGTCCTACTAGGTCCCAATGTGGTCTCCAGAGAAAACCTGTCCCTCCTCCAGCTCCGTGTCCTGAATGTTCTGGCTTTACAGACAATGCAACAGTGAGGCTCCCGAAGGGTCACCCAGATCATGACCCAGATCATAACCTGGACCAGCGTGCAGCAGGGCCTGGCCTTGGGCACCATTCCCCTCCGCCACCCTGCCCCAGGGGACCCCACACAGGCAGTACCTAAAATCCAGGAAGGCACAGTACAGGAACACCTGGTTGCTGCTGTTGGTGGCCTCGTTGCGCTGCCTGCGGGACTGAAATGAAAGGATGGATATGCTTCATGAGGCCGCTGGAGAAGAAGCCAGGCTCCTGACACTGAGCTCAACTCCCCACCCACAGCCCACAGGACCGTGGGGTGATGCTCCAAGGAGCCACTGACTCCATCTCAACCCTGTCGTGGTCACAGAGGGCCATGACATCTGGCCCACCTCACATCTCTCTCTCCTTTGTCCACACCAGCCCAGAAGCCAGGGCTCTTGCCACAGGGCCTTTGCACCTACTGTGTCCTCCCATGAGAATGCCCTTCCCCCATAACAACATATGCCTGCCCCCATTTATTATAGGTCTGTGCTGCATGTTACTCCCAGAGCAGCCTTCCTGCTCATTTAAAACGGCACCAACCCGGGCAACCCACACCCCTTCCTCTTAGTAAGAGCACACAACGAGCCCCTGTCCAACCTGTGTGCTGCTCTATCCCCCGAGCCTGGCCAGAGAAGGCACACAGCAGGCACTCACTACAGACTGGATGAAGAAGAGGACAAAGGAACAAACAAGTGACCAGCTCAACCAGCAACCTTGTTCCTAGGACTCTTATTCTCCCCCCAAAAGAGAAACTTCTAGCCCCTGGACTCTTCTGGGATGCCAGCAGGGGCACTTAACTGCAGCTGCTCTGCCCAAAACAAATCACAGGGGGTTGGCCAGGAGCCACTCACAGGAAGCTTGGGGAGCTGGAGCACTGCCAGGAAGCCAGGGCTGCTCCTGGACACATGATGTGTTACAGATTCCCAATAACTAAGTCAGAACCTCTCCTGTGGCCGCCTGCCACTCACTCCATTGTCTCATCTGCTCTCGCGACCCCACCCCCACCTCCATCTTGGGGCTTCATGTGCCAGCGTGGCAGTCAGCCTTCTGCAGGGCAGGTGAGCAACTGGATGGGACAGCTCCCTTGTCACCCCAGCACCAGATACATAAGCTCTTCTTTCCGGGCGCCGGTCTGGGGCCCAGACAGGTACCCTCGGGACCCACAGCAAACACCAGATGGCTCATCCATCATCTCCTTTGTGCTAGAACCATGGATGACGGACCCCAAGTGCACAACACAATTATATTAATACCATTTATTCCTGATATTTGGGCAGATGTTATCCTTATTCCTTTTGTTTTCCCTTCTGGTATCTTAATGGTTACTGTCATACATTATGGGGTTTCTCAAAATTGCCCGTGCCTGGAAACTCTGTAGAACCTTCCTGCCCAGGACCATGGCTGGCTCCTCCAATCACTCCCATTTTCACCTCCTAGAGATGTTTCCCCATTGCTGTCTCCTTTACGTGGTTCATCTTTTCACAGCGCTCAACACTACCTAAACATCCCTGGTCATTGCCTGTCCATCTGCTTATCACCTATGTCCCTCCACTAGAGTAAGGCCTCATGCAGCAGGAATGCCAGCCGTCCCCCAGGGTTAGCCCCTTGCACATGCACAGCATGTGAAAGTACTCGCTGTGTGAGTCAGGGTGGAAACACCCCCTTCCAGACAGGTAGGAGCAATTCCTGATTTCCAAGAGCACCTGTGGGGATATCCACTCGGCATGGCCCATGGCACTGGACCGCAGAAGAATATGCCTCAGAAATCTCCGAGTACATGCCAGGTCAGGGCAGAGGGACTGGTGTTCAGGGAGATGAGTCTAGCTGAACCTCACACCCTAAGAGAGGGCAGAGTGGCCCAAGCAACACAGCCCAGACTCAAGAGATCCATGCAAAACCCTCAAAGGGCTAAACCTCTGTTTATTCTTACTCTGTTCCCAGACTCTGACCTTGTCCCTGGTGCCACCTGGGCCACCTTCTGGTGCTCTTTCCCACGCTCACCACAGAGGTTGGTTTTACAAGTGCATCACCCATCCCTGGAGCCACCACAGGCAGAACCCGGGCTGGGGCCAGTGCCTGGGGCTTCTCAAGCTCTTAAATTTGAGACACACGTTCCTCCCCGCCACCCCTCACTCCCCGGCCCATCCCCTCAATGTCCCAGCTGCTGTGAACACTGCACACAGATAGAGAGCCCCATCCTGCAGCCACTTGGGAACACAGAAGGTCATTAACAGGGTAACCACAACACACAATCCCACAAAACCCAAAGTACAAATGAGGACCAGGCAGTGACCTCCACCTGGAATCACTGAGACGTCCTCGGCCCTGAATGGCCTTGGACTCACTTTCCAGGACACATCAGGTGTCACTGTCCACAGGCAGGTGCACTAGAGTGTTCCTGTGCCCTGGAAAGGCAGGTGGACACCAGGCAGGACTGGAGAGTGGACTGAAGCCAGGATTACATGGGACCGGTGTGCTGAGGCCCCGAGGAAGAAGCAGTGCTCTCTCCCACTGTCTGCAGTGTGGAGCTGGCTCCCCTCACTTCTGGCAGAAGGGACCCCTCCTAGTCCCAACCCTCTGGCTCCAGATCCAAATTCGAGGGGATTCAACAATCATCCCCGAATGCAGCAAGCCAGCATGTGTGTGGTCGAGAGGGTGGAGGGGCAGACGGTGCTCCCTGGGTCCGAAGCCAAGGTCACACCCTGCCAGAGTTGGGAAAGTCCTGTTCTGACATCCAAGGTTCCTCCTGGCGTGGGAAGAGCAGACCGCCTCCCCGTGTCTGAGTTTGCAACGCAACTGGAATAGAAGCCCTCAGCACGTCTCCAAGAAAGGAGGCCTAAAACATTCCTAGGAGCATGATTTATGGACACACGGGGAGCAGTGATGCCAGAAAGAGGAAGGTGAGTCATCCATGCTATGGCCTGATTTTCCGGAAAAATGTGGGAGGCGTCAACGCCCAGCAGCCTTGCATGTGCCATGACCAGGGAATGGGGTGTGCTCACATGGGTGATGGGGAGAGCCATTATCTGAACCCCTCCTGTGCCCCAAAGCCGAGGCCTGCGGTTGACAGAGACAGGGCCTCCCAGCAGAGAGCTGGCCCTGCTCTCTGCCCCCTGACTGCCACAGACAAGCCCCCCTTCCGTGTCACCCGGCCCGCAGAGTGCCTCCTGCAGGAATACTCCCTTGGACAACCCTACCGTTCAGTAGATGTCAGTGGGAGTAGTCAAGTATTTATTGCCGACTGTTCATAATCCATGTTCAGAAAGGCGTCTGCTCTGGGAGACACGTATCAGGAGAGGAGAAAAATCTATCAGATAACCTGTAAATGTTCCTCGCTTAGAAACTCGTTTGCTTTTCACCCAAGTATACAGTTCTTCCTACAAACAAGGTGAGGAGACACTTGCTGTCACTGCCCCAAGCAAACGCACAGAAAGCTCCATGGTCCTTAATTCTGACCTTCAGTAGAGCAATGGAAGGAGACAGAGGCCCCAAACCCAGCACAGGGGAAGGTGCACGGGAACATCACCTGGCTCATCTCATAAGCTGGGGGCCAGGGCTCCAAATGGCTGAGATGTCCCAGCTTGGAGGAAAGTAAGAGAAATGGAAGTCATGTTGGAAGCTGATGAGGAAACCCTTCAATCAGCCTCAAAGTCCTGGTGTTGGAGGACATTTCTTGCCTTTGTGAGCATGAGAAAGTGGGCGCAGCCCCTCCCAATGGATGCTCACACAGGCCCCAGCAGCAGGGGCAGGGCCCTGATCACCTCCAGAAAGGGCAAAAGGTTGAGGTGGGGGAGTGAGGCCTGTGACCCAGTGGACTGGGGTCTCAGCGCCCCCAGCCAGGGCCCAACATAGGTGGGCAGCACGGGGACACTGAGAACACGCCTGCGTGCTGCGCTCACATGCACACAAGGTCCCCTCCACCCCAGGCTGCATCTGGACCACAGGCACCCTCGTTCAAGGCATCAGTCAGGTCATCCGAGGACACCCTCAAGACCCTGACACAGGCCCCTCACCCCTTCCCCGTCCAAATGTCACCTGAACCTCCACCTCCCCCAGCCCTTCCAGGCCAGAGGCCCCTTTGAGCTGGACTCAGCTGGACGTGGGTCTGTCCTGTCCAGGGACACATCGGGAGCACACGATGCAGACGTATGGTGCCTGCAGGAGCTCATGTCTGTCTTCAGGTGACAGCCCAACCTCCCCACCTGCCTCTTCCGTCCACCTGCAGCTGAGCACGGCCTGGAGGTCAGCACGTACCATGGCCAGCCCGGACCAGGTCAGAGATGCGCACTGAGCCCTGGGGACCAGGGGCCGTGGGAACGTGGGGCTCGCACGACTCCAAAAATGAGTTTCCCTGTTTTTTTCCGCTGCCCTGTGGGATTCTGGGACACTCCAGAGGGAACTGAACTCCCAGTGCGATCCTGCAGGGCCTCCCCCATCCCCTGTCCTGAGGACTTGGGACCCCCAGTGGGGAGCTCACGGTCAGCACGTCTGCCGGCACCTGGGGGAGGGGGCGCACACGGGGGACGGTGCTGGCAAGTCCCACACGGTCTGCAGCCCACCTCGAGTCATCCCTGGCCCTGGTGACACCAAGTCCTGAAGCTTTCAGGGGAAAAGGCGCCAGATGGGGCCAGACGGGACCCTGTGTGCAGCATGGAGCAAACCAGGGGAGCCAAAGTGGGCAGGAACGCGAAGGCAAAGGCAGCTGTGCGTGCACTCTTGTTGGTGTTGGACTTCGGGGATGTTTCCAAAAGTCTCCATCCCCATTTCACACAAAGAAGTTGCAGAGATTCTTGTTTTTTAATACTTGGAGCCAGCCCTCACCGCCCTCCCATTCCAGTCTGAGAGAGGACGCTGGAAAACACATCAGGATTCATCTGAATGAAGACAAATTCACACAAGCTGCAATAATGTATTTCCTCTGCAAAACACGGGATCCTCAGTTTTCTTGAATCGTTTCCTTCCATTAGAAAATAGGCTCCTTAAAGAACCAAGTGCCATTTGTGTCTGTTCCGATGCTTCAGAAAGTACCTTCCATGTGCACTTACAAGCCCAAGATCACACGACTGCCCCAGCACACAGGCTGGTTTCCTGAAGGAAAATGAGTTACAAAGACAGGTCCTGACAGGTAGCCCCAGTTGGACAGAACAGAGTAGAGAACCTAGGAACAACCTGC